AGGAGCTCCAGCTCCAGCAGCACGCCTCCAGCGGCGAGCAAACCACTCGCGCAGCTCCTGTGGAGAGAGCGGCTCCCGCCGAGACGGAGCAACCGGAGAGCCCCCAGGTCCAGCAGTCGCAGGCTCCGCACCTCCAGGCTCAGCACCCCCAGGCTCAGCAGCTCCTGACGTAGCACCCCCCGGCTCAGTACCCCCAGCAGCAGCACCCCCAAGCTCAGCACCCCCCGGCCTCGCACCCACAGGCTCAGCACCCCCAGCAGCAGCACCCCCAAGCTCAGCACCCGCAGGCGTAGCACCCCCAGACTCTGCACCCGCAACAGGACCAGACTCAGCAGCAACCTCGACTGGCTCGACTGTGTCTACCTGGGACACACCTGAAGGGGCAGGAACCTGAGGGGGGAGGGGGTCTACCGGGGGGGGGAACTGGCACCAGGAAGTCCGGTGGGGGGGGGAGGGAAGGAGTACGGTAGGGGAAGAGGCGGTAGAAGGGGACTGACTCGTCGAACGTGACGTCCTGCGAGGACAGAACACGACGAGAGGAGGGGTGGTAGAACTGCCACCCTGGAGCGTTAGGGGGGAAGCCAAGGAAGACACAAGGAGCAGCACGGGGGGACAGCTTGTCCGCAGACAAGTCGCGGACAAACGCCCGAGATCCCCAGACATGAAACGCAGACGCATCGCCGACCTTCCCCGTCCACAGTAACACTGGGGACATCGCGGGCCGAGAGACCCTGGGGTGAAGGTTGAGCTGATGCGCCGCGTACCGAACCGCAAACGGCCACAGAAAATGGGGGGCAGCCGCATGCATCATAGACGTACGAGCGACATCCATGACCATGCCAATGCGGCGCTCTGCAATCCCATTTTGCTGTGGAGAGTCCGGAAGCGTAAAGGTCTGGCGGATCCTCTGTGCACGACAGTAGTCTCGCAGAAGGCGAGAGGAGAACTCCCCACCTCGGTCAGAGTGCAGACGCAGAACAAGAAAGTCCGAGCCGAAGCTCCTCCTGAGCTGGAGACGAGCCTCGCGGATCCAGTCGATCAGCACCTCAGTGACAGCACCTTTGCTGCGCAAGGGGAGGACTGTGGTGTAACGCGAGTAGTCGTCAACCACCAACAGGAAGTAGCGCTCGTGACCCTGCCCACGGACGGGGGCCGGGCCCCACACGTCCATGTGAAGTGTCTGCAAAGGAGCCTCTGTCGGAGGAAACTGGGAGGAGTGAGGAGCAGCCCTGAGGCGCCCCTCGACACAGGGGACACAGGAAGGTCCTGGTCCCGAAGGAAGGGGAGGGAGAGACTGGGGAAGACCAAAGACAAGGACACGGGAAGCCATGCCCCGAAGGCGGGGCAAGGAGGGGTGGCCAAGACGGTGGTGCCAGAGGAGAGTCTCGTGAGACAGGAGGCGACACGAACAGGGGGCAGACTCAGGACCAGACCTGGACGCAGCAGCAAACACCTGACCTGACGCTGCTACCTGACCGGACGCAGGGATAGGAGGAGACTCAGTGGTGAGGGTGTAGAGGCTCGACCCCGGCCGACGCGAGAACGTGGCCAGGTGCCGGCCTGTGCGTGCGTCCGTGCAGTGGGTCACCCGCTGACTCGCAGGAGTGAACTGGTGAACCCCCGCATCCTGCAGGTCTGCACCACTCACCAAGTTCGTCGAGAACGAGGGGAGGTACAGGCCAGACAGGGTGCCCGAGGGGGCAGCCGGACACGGGAGGACAGTGGAGAAGTGAGCGAGCACAGGACCCCCAGAGGGGTCAGCCAGGGAGACTGCAACCGGCCGACCAAGCGGCGTGAGTGTGGTGCGGTCCCGAAAGAAGGAGCGAGAAGCCCCAGAGTTAAGTGTAAAGGTGAGGGAGGCCGAAGCCAACGCGGTACCTGAGAGCGCAGCCTCACCCGCACCTGAGGAAGCAGACTCACTAGCACCTAGAGCAATAGCCGCACCTGTACCTGGAGCAGGAGACTCACTAGCACCCAGAGCAGCAGCAGCCTCACCAGTAGCTAGAGCAGCAGGTCCTATACCCGGTTCAGGCGGGACGCACAGGTGACCGGCACGGTCACCACTAGTAGCCAATGCATACATGGCAGTGAGAATAGCATCATAGTCAAGAGCAAATATATCTACCCTCTGCCTAAGCAACTCCACCCAGTCGGGGAGCTCAGCCTCGTCGCCAAACACGGTACGCCAGGCGTCGCTCAGACGGGCGAAGCAGCGGGACTGTGTATGACTACGTGTCCCACAAGGCTGACCAGTCCGAGCACCAGTGAGAATCACGTAAGAGCAGCGAACAGAACTGAGAGACCCTCTACTCTGAGCGTACCACTCACGAAGCTGCTGAGGCGTGAGAGACGCGCGGGGGGGTCGCGGGAGCTGCATCTGGCCGCCACCAGTAGTAGAAGCAGCAGGAGTGGTAGCAGTAGTAGCGCCACCACCCCTACAGCCCCAACCAGCGTACCACTCACGCAGCTGCTGGGGCGTGAGGGACTCACGCAGACGTCGATGGGGCTGCATCTGGCTCCACCAGTAGAGGCAGGAGCAGGAGTAGCAGCAGTAAGGCAGGCAGCTAGGCAAGCCAAAAAGGGAGGCAGGCAGGCAAGCAGGCGACGCGCAGCGTGCTAGCAGGGCAGGGGCCCACCAGTGGTGGGTAGAGTAGGCTCGGCGACTCAGCGGCTCGGCAGCACGGCGGCTCTGCGGCTCGGGCGACTCGGGCGGCTCGGCGGCAGGGCGGCTCGGCAGCAACTGCAGCTCGGCAGCTCGGCGACCCGGCGGCGCGGCTGCTGGGAGGCTCGGGTGTAGAGCAGCTCGGCTGCAGGGCGGCGCGGCTGCTGGGAGGCACAAGACGAAGGAGGAGGAGAAGCAGTGGAGACCACACACCTGCCACCCCTCAGCTGGCCTCTCGCAAGCGGCCCCCTCAGGTCGCCTCGACAGGCGACGGGAAAAGGGGGGGGGGGGGGAGGCGGCTCGGGCGGCTCGGGCGGCTCAGGCTGTCAGTGGCACAGGCGGCTCGGGCGGCTCGGCTCCTCAGCTGCGCAGACGGCTCGGGCGGCTTAGGCTGCACGGCGGCTAACGGGCGGCGTGGGGGGCCGGGACGGCGGCGTGCAGCAGGGACGGGCGGCGCACGGGCGGTGTGAGGCCGGGACGGGTGAGGGGCCAGGACGGGTGGCGTCCTGGCGCCGAGGGGCCGAGACAGGAGAGCGCGGCCGGGGCGGGCGGCACAGGGCGGCCTGGGGCCGGGTCGGGCGGCGCGCGGGCGGTGAGGGGCCGGGACGAGCGCGCGCGGGTGGCTAGGAGCCGGGACGGGTGCGCGCGGGTGGCTAGGGGCCGGGACGGGCGCGCGCGGGTGGCTAGGGGCCGGGACGGGCGGCGCGCGGGCGGCTAAGGGGCCTGAACGGGCGGCGCGCGAGCGGCTAGGGGCCGGGACGGGCGGCGCGCGGGCGGCTAGGGGCCTGAACGGGCGGCGCGTGAGCGGCTAGGGGCCGGGACGGGCGGCGCGCGGGCGGCTAGGGGCCTGAACGGGCGGCGCGCGAGCGGCTAGGGGCCGGGACGGGCGGCGTGCGGGCGGCTAGGGGCCTGAACGGGCGGCGCGCGAGCGGCTAGGGGCCGGGACGGGCGGCGCGCGGGCGGCTAGGGGCCTGAACAGGCGGCGCGCGAGCGGCTAGGGGCCGGGACGGGCGGCGCGCGGGCGGCTAAGGGCCGGGACGGGCGGCGCGCGGGCGGCTAGGGGCCTGAACGGGCGCGCGCGGGCGGCTAGGGGGCCGCAGGGCAGGCCGAAAGAGTGAGAGCGAGGGCCCGGAGCGCGCTCCGGGCAGAAAAAAAAAAGTTTAAAAGTGGTGGGCCCTTAGCACAGTTCCCACGGGGGAACCTGCTTGATACCATGTGGAAAATAGAACGAGAATGAATGCACTATGAAAGAGTTGGGTACAAATAGCAAAACCCTAATTGGGTTGTACCCCCTATGGGATACCCCACTGTAGCCTACACAACAGCATAAGCTACATATATGTTCTGACAGTACCCGCTAAAACGCTCATGGATCAGAGTACACTCTAAGAAAAAGGCTGAATAATCAGACAAGGCCTATATTTTTTTTCTGAATATTCAGAGTTCACAGCGAAAAAAAACTCTGAACTTTCAGAGTTCACTAAAAGAAAAGGCTGAAATATCAGACTTTTTTTGGCAAATCAGAGAAATTTCTCTGACTTTGGGGGGCCTGATACAAAATTTCAAGGTTCGCTAAAGTACTACTATGACAGGACCAGTGTTCAGAAGTCGTTTAAACTGAAATCACTGGGACCAGAATGCGACAAGTCTGAAATCACCCTGAAATCATGGTCCCTGATAAATTCAGCCATGTTCATCCTTATAATCAGGGTATCGGGATAAGTTACACTGATAAAATAGGCCTTGCTCGCATCGCCTTCGGCTCTTCCCTTGTCCAACCTGTATGCAGCCTCGTTTCCCAAGCTTTCCGAGCCAGTATTCCTGCTACTTTCTATCGTCATTTTGCTTGGTTTGTTAGTTCATTAAATTTCACACTGCTATAAATAAATAATTTAGCTTAGCTTGTTTGATAGCTCCTAGAATACACTTTGTAGCTTCATGTTAAAGGTCGTTGCCTATAGACGAGTAAATCGGGCCGGCCGTGATTATTGCGCCGAGCCCTGCTAGATCTCGCCATCCATAAGCTGGCCTTCAATTGGCACAAGTATCGTCGCATTCTTCAGCGCTCCAATCACGATGGCTGGCCGACCATCCCAGCTTGACATCCGAACAGGCGCACTCAGGCTAGCCAGTCACGCACCGATTCACACTTCTGCTCTGCACTTTTCCCAGGCCCGCGTGTAGCTGCTGCAGGGGCGCGCTGAAAAGAGAGGCCACAATAGTTATCGAGAGAGCGGCAGTGTGCGAGCAGGCGTTCAGAATCCACACCAGGGCTGTCAAGCACACCCGCGCCCTTCCCACACACGAGCCTTCCCACAGAAGAATCGCGCTTCCCCCCATGGAGGCAGCGCTGGGCTGTCGCGTCCGTCCGCGCGCTGCGGTTGGCTGTGTGCCACAGGCGGCCCGTCGTTGTCCGTCGGCCCGGTCTGCTCGCGTTGCAATGCATCCGCTGCAGCCGCGTCGCCACCTGCTCGGCGCGAACAGCTTGCGCCGGCCTCGCGTGTCCGCCGGACGGCGGCTGCCCCACCCCCCGCCGTCCCGCGCCCCCAGAGTGGCGCTCGTCGCGGAGTCGGCTTCCAGCGAAAGCAGGGACGATGTGACTGTAACGGGCGATGCAGAGGAGCAGCTGAGAGCGTCCGCGACGGAGGGGGGCGCTGAGGAGGCCGGGGCGTTCGAGTGGAGCCGCGCGTGGTACGCCGTGGGCGTGGCGTCCGACATGGACGCGGCTCGCCCGCACGCCGTCACCGTGGTGGGCCGCCCGCTCGTGCTCTGGCGCGACGCCGCGGGGTCGTGGCGGTGCTTCCTCGACCAGTGCCCCTCTCCGAGGTCAGCCTGCCCGCCCCGCCGCCCCGCCTCCCATCTCACCTTTTTCCATCCCTCCTATTCCCATCGGACCGTTTCGCAGCGCAGCAATTCATATAACTCCCCACTCCCAATAGGTCAAAAAACGGGCGCAGCGTATGCCCCCACCCCTTGGTGTAAGTCCGCAGGCGTTACGTGTTGGATCGCATCTGTTCCCGCCTCACCCACCTCGACCTCACCTCCTCTCACCCCCCCCTTCCTTCCCCCCCCTCCCCTGCCAACGACCACAGGGCCGCATAGACGCGGAGGGGCGGCTGGCGTGTTCGTACCACGGGTAGGTGTTCGCAGGCAGCGGCGCGTGCCAGCTCATCCCGCAGGCCGCCCCGGAGCAGCCCGGCCAGGCCCCCCGCGCCGTGTGCTCCCCGCGCGCCTGCGCCACTGCCTTCCCCGTGAGGGAGTTCCACGTGAGTGCTAGGCGGGGAGGCCCGGGATGGCGAGGGAACTCGCAAGGTAGGGAGTGGAAGAGTCACATCCACTGCCGCCCCACCACTGGCGGGTGGCTGCTCTGCTTGCTCGCGTGCATCCACGCAGGCGGCAGCAAGTGGTTGGGGGGGCGAGGGCAGTAGGGGTGGTGGAGGGAAGCAACGACACCCCCCTGTGCCGCACCTCGTTGCCGAGTGGCAAGCCAGAGGGTGAAGCGACCCTTCAGAGGCGGATTTGTGCTTCGCAGAAGTTCACCCAACGTGCTGTTGCATGCAAGCTAATCGCTCCCCATTCACCTCGTTCGCCTCCATGCACGCCAGCCACCCCTTTCCCCCCCCTCCCCCTTCCGACCTCCCAGGGAGTGCTGTTCGTGTGGCCTGACGAGCACTCACCACAGCAGGCGGAGGCGATGCCGCTGCCGCTGCCGCACGGGGTGGAGTGGGATCAGTACGACGCGCTGCCGCACTACACGCGGCGCCTGGCGTACGGCTACGAGGTGCTGGCGGAGAACGTGGTGGACCTCTCCCACTTCCCCTTCGCCCACCACGGCGTCGGCATGACCACCCGCGACCAGGGCAAGCCTGTCAGCGACATCGGCATGAAGCAACTCGTGCGTGGCGCGGGGAAGGGGGGGGGGGGAGGGGTGGGTGGGCAGGCAGCAACTCGTGTGTGGCACGGGGGTGTGTGACACAAGGGTGTGTGGCACAAGGGTGTGTGGCACAAGGGTGTGTGGCACAAGGGTGTGTGGCACAAGGGTGTGTGGCACAAGGGTGTGTGGCACAAGGGTGTGTGGCACGGGGATGTGGTTTGCTCATGCGAACATTCAGAGAGCCGCGCACATCATGCAGCCCCACACACACTCACACTCATGCTCACATGCAGCCAGCCCATCACAACTTATGCTCATGCTTGTGCTGCCTGCACTGCCCTCACCCTGCCTGCACTGCTCTCACCCTGCCTGCACTGCTCTCACCCTGCCTGCACTGCTCTCACCCTGCCTGCACTGCCCTCACCCTGCCTGCACTGCCCACACCCTGCCTGCACTGCCCTCACCCTGCCTGCACTGCTCTCACCCTGCCTGCACTGCTCTCACCCTGCCTGCACTGCTCTCGCCCTGCCTGCACTGCTCTCACCCTGCCTGCACTGCCCTCACCCTGCCTGCACTGCTCTCACCCTGCCTGCACTGCTCTCACCCTGCCTGCACTGCTCTCACCCTGCCTGCACTGCTCTCACCCTGCCTGCACTGCTCTCACCCTGCCTGCACTGCTCTCACCCTGCCTGCACTGCTCTCGCCCTGCCTGCACTGCTCTCACCCTGCCTGCACTGCCCTCACCCTGCCTGCACTGCTCTCACCCTGCCTGCACTGCTCTCACCCTGCCTGCACTGCTCTCACCCTGCCTGCACTGCCCTCACCCTGCCTGCACTGCTCTCACCCTGCCTGCACTGCTCTCACCCTGCCTGCACTGCCCTCACCCTGCCTGCACTGCTCTCACCCTGCCTGCACTGCTCTCACCCTGCCTGCACTGCCCTCACCCTGCCTGCACTGCCCTCACCCTGCCTGCACTGCTCTCACCTGCCCTTGAATGCCTCTGCACTGCCCACCAGCAGGGCGTGAAGGGCTTCGAGGGGCCCATCCACGTGTTTGGCTTCCCCACGTACCTCCACTTCCAGGCGCCCCAACTCGTCACCATGAGGTACAACACCATGAGGTACAACACCATGAGGTACAACACCATGAGGTACAACACCATGAGGTACAACACCATGACGTACAACACCATGAGGTACAACACCATGAGGTACAACACCATGAGGTACAACACCATGAGGTACAACACCATGAGGTACTAAAGACAACACCATGAGGTACAAAAGACAACACCATGAGGTACAAAAGACAACACCATGAGGTACAAAAGACAACACCATGAGGTACAAAAGACAACACCATGAGGTACAAAAGACAACACCATGAGGTACAAAAGACAACACCATGAGGTACAAAAGACAACACCATGAGGTACAAAAGACAACACCATGAGGTACAAGAGCATGAGATGCAACACCATGAGGTACAAAAGACAAGAGCATGAGGTACAAGAGCATGAGATGCAACACCATGAGGTACAAAAGACAAGAGCATGAGGTACAAGAGCATGAGCTGCAACACCATGAGGTACAAAAGACAAGAGCATGAGGTACAAGAGCATGAGATGCAACACCATGAGGTACAAAAGACAAGAGCATGAGGTACAAGAGCATGAGATGCAACACCATGAGGTACAAAAGACAAGAGCATGAGGTACAAAAGACAACACCATGAGGTACAAAAGACAACACCATGAGGTACAACAGACAACACCATGAGGTACAAAAGACAACACCGTGAGGTACAACACCGTGAGGTACAACACCGTGAGGTACAACACCGTGAGGTACAACACGGTGAGGTACCACCCCTGCCTTATCATGCAATCGTGATTATATACGAGACAATTTACTTCCTATTGAATTAGATCCTGCTGCTTCAAGTCAAAGGTGATGGCGACCTGCCCTTTCTCCCCCCTCCCTCTCTCATTTTCCCCCTTCCCTTCTATTTTCCTCCCCCCCTTCTCCCCTCCTCCCTTCCCCTTCTTCCTCTGTCGCCCTTGCAGGCCACGCCCCCCCAAGTTTGCTTTGCTGCCGAGGAAGCCGGAGGACACATACGCGCCCAACACGTACCTGCTGCTGCTCTACATCACGCCGTGTGCGCTGGGCAGCAGCCTGGCCGTGCAGGTGCGCTGGTGAGGCGCGGCGACGGCAAGAAGCTGCCCTCCGTGCCGCGCTGGATGCTGCACCTCCGCCAGCACCAGGTGTTTGATGGTGAGTGCTGCACCTCCGCCAGCACCAGGTGTTTGATGGTGAGTGCTGCACCTCCGCCAGCACCAGGTGTTTGATGGTGAGTGCTGCACCTCCGCCAGCACCAGGTGTTTGATGGTGAGTGCTGCACCTCCGCCAGCACCAGGTGTTTGATGGTGAGTGCTGCACCTCCGCCAGCACCAGGTGTTTGATGGTGAGTGCTGCACCTCCGCCAGCACCAGGTGTTTGATGGTGAGTGCTGCACCTCCGCCAGCACCAGGTGTTTGATGGTGAGTGCTGCACCTCCGCCAGCACCAGGTGTTTGATGGTGAGTGCTGCACCTCCGCCAGCACCAGGTGTTTGATGGTGAGTGGAAGAGGGAGATGAAGAGGGATGAGAGGAGTATTTTACGCCTTTGAAAGGCTCTCTTCTCAGCTGCTTTCGCCCTTTTCATGTTGAGAGAGCAGCAGCTGTCACTTGTAGGGCCTCAGCTCGGTCATTGTTTGTCACAGCCCCGTCTGCTTGCCGCACAGCTATGATGGCAGATACGCTTGGGGAGGGGTACCATATCCCATATGTTCTCTAGCGAATGCATGCAATAGGCTTCGAATTCGGTAGATTACACTTCGCGAGTTGTTTCCTCGATCTCGCACACCACCCGTCTCCATCCACAAACCACCCCTCTCAACCTCCCAAACCCCCTCCCCCCCCTCTCCCCCACCAGATTTTTTCCCACCGAATTTTTGTGTATTAGCGAATAGAGTATATACGCTTGCGTATGAAACGGGAAACGCGTATTTGCCATCATAGCCTCACAGCCTTCTGCCTGCCCCCCTTTGTGTCTCATAATGGTATCTTCCCTATCATGCAGTACAGGTTTCTTTGTTTATTTCGAGCCTTTTTTTTGGTTCATCTGGCTCGACTTGGCTTTTCCTGTGGTCCCAACCCCTTGCTGTGTGCCATCCCTTCTTGTTTTGCATCTTACCACCACCTCTTTCAACCCATGCTGCCCTGCGCCAGGTGGAGCCATGGCGTACCCGCCTCCCTTGGCAGGCGTGTTACTGCCCCCCCAGCCGGCCCCCAAGGAGCAGGTGTTGGAGCGCATGGCCTCCCACACCGCGCACTGCACCGCCTGCTCTGGCGCCCTTACCAACGTGCAGCGCCTCCAGCTGCTTCTGCCAGCCGACTCGCTGCTCTCTGCTGCTGCTGCTGTCGCCTCCGCCTCCCTGCGTGCTCACCTGCCACTTGCTGTGCTGGCCCTGGCGGCTGCTGCGGCAGCGTGGAAGGTGCAGGAGGTGGCCAAGGAGTTTGTGTACACGGGGTGGGACCATGCCACGAGGGATTGAAGTCAGGATACCAGGTTATGCAGTCACGAGGGCCATGCTTGCACTTTTAAAATCGAGGAGGGCTCAGAAGCCTTCTTTCATTCGTGTGTTTGCGCTTCAAGTAATCGGCTTGCTGGAACTTGGTGGGGGTGGAAGCGAGGGACGTAACGCCAAGTAAAAGAATCACCAGAACAGGACATACAAGGGGGGTATATGGAGTGTCTGAGCCCTCTAAAGAATAGTCTGGTTTGTTGGTGCATCATTGGATGGTGGCATGTTGACCAGTTCTTCAGGCAAGTCAAAGGGGACAATCCGCAAGGAATTTCTCCTGCTGCTTGCGACACATGGTGAACTCGCTGCTGTAGTAGTCCATGCACTTGACGTACGCCTCCATGCTCGCTGGACACTGCCCCTGCAACGACTTCAGCCTGCACACAGCATGGGCGGAAACGAAAGGGGAAAAAGGGGGGTGGGTCGGGGAGAGGAAGGCCGCAGGTTGGAAGAAGTGGGGTATGAGATTATCAAGTCAATACTGGGGTCAAAATGGTACATGTACATTCATGAGCAGGGGGCGCACAGCACATGGGCATGGAGTGCGGATGGCATTTCAGTGCAAGGACTGTGAATTAGTGATGCACAACCGCGCGAATACAGCACGGCGCTGAGGCAGCACAGGCAGAGATGAAAGCAGTTCAACTGAGAGCAGGAGGCAGGCGGCAAGAGGGCAAGGGGGCAAGAGGGCAAGGGGGCAAGAGGGCAAGGGGGCAAGAGGGCAAGGGGGCAAGAGTGCAAGTGGGCAAGAGGGCAAGGGGGCAAGGAGAGGCCAAGAGGGCGAGAGGGCAAGAGGGAAAGAGGGAGGAACACACAGGAAATCGATAGAAGAGGAGCAGCAGCATGTGACACATGGTGTGGGGGGGGAAAGCTGAAGCGGGCCACGAGATAGCATGGTTGGTGGAAGAGAACAAGCAAGAGCCACGGGCGGCTCATTCAGCCACAGACCGCAATTCCTGAACCCACTGGTCCGCATTTAGATCGGCTCAGCAAACCGTAGTCGACTTCCGGCAAACCCTAGCCCAAGAAGATAGCAAGGAGAAAGATTCTTCAAAGCAAGGAATGCCAGCAGCAAGCGAAGACGTACAGTGCACGATGGCGGATGCCTCACGCTGACTGATAGACCTAACGAGGTGCAGCGGAGTTGATCGGCGGGCACAGCGGATCGAACAGAGAGGCGGAGCACTCACAGGTTGAGCACGCATCCCGTGACCTGCGCGCCCTGCTGCAAACACTTTTCGGGATTCTCGTCCGCACGCTTGCACTCCAGGAACGCGCGATTCTCAGCGGCGCAGCTCTTGGCAATGTGTCTCGATGCTGACATCAGCACGGCTGACGTGGCAACCGGAGTATCGTCCGACATGATAGAGTTGCAGCAGCCTGTTCTCAACCCGATCTGGATACGCGAGGAAGAAAGATGGCGATGTACAGAAAGGGGCGAGCGGCTGCAGCGGTCGGTGACCGTGCGCAGACGATGGAAGGCGAGAGGAGCACAAACAGGACGTGATAATAGGCTCCTCCTAAAACACAATGCCTACAAAACAACCGTTCTTGCCCGTTACAACCTAATGGTGTTCCACACTTCGCGTGTAATGAATGTGAATTTATTGCTGTAGAGGCTACTCCTAGCGAGGACAGCCCGAACTCTTCGCGTCAGTTAGGGTTCGGCCTACACTCCGGCCCGAACCACTTCCGAATCGCCCCGCACCAATCGCGACACTTCCAAACCACCCACGTCCCGAGGTCCTCGCCTACCACGGTTTCGACCCTATAAATGCTTGCTTCTTTATCATTCTCGTCATTCTGTATTCGACATCCTTTTTATAAAGTCTTCCGCGCACTCTTCTTAGTACAACTCATAACACTTGGTATCAGAGCCTACGTTCCTAGGTTCCCCGTTTTTTAGAGTGTGTTACCCCTCGGGGGGGGGGACAGGGAAGGATGCCGTGGTGATAGGAGCAGCGCAGTAGCCGGCCAGGAGAACGGATAGTTGCTCCTAGCGGCCATATTTTTACGGGCGCTCCTGCTGCACCGACGGATCCTTGCCCTCGACGGTCGAGATGGACCGTGGCCTCCCTCCCCCCGGGTGGCGGACAGCTTTTGCTGTTGTCGCATTTAATTGCGTGAGTAAATTTCGTCGTTTCCGTTAATCTCGGCGCTGTTTTTATGCGGCAGTTGGCGTCAGGACGGTTGTCGTCACTGCATGCGCGAGATTGTCGGAGCAGCGGGTCGTGCGAGTTGAAGATTTTGTAAGAACATTATAGCTTATGCTGTTGTGTAGGCTATAGTGGGGTATCCCATAGGGGGTACAACCAATTAGGGTTTCCTATTTGTACTCACTTCGTTTCATAGTTCACCATTCTCGTTCTAATCTTCTCATGGTATCGAGCAGGTTCCCCCTTGCGAACTGTGCTTAGGGCCCACCACTTCGAGTTTTTTTTCCTGCCCGAAGCGCGCTCAGCCCGAGTCGCGCTACGTGCCCTCACTTCGTCGAGCCGCCCTAGCGGCCCTTCACTACGGCCCCGCCGCCTGTCTCAGCGGCCTCGCCGCCCTTTTCTGCGGCCCCGCCGCCTCTCTCGTTGCGGCCCCGCCGCCCTTCACGGCGGCCCCGCCACCCGTCTCAGCGGCCCCGCCGCCCGTCTTCGCAGCCCCGCCGCCTCTCTCGCTGCGGCCCCGCCGCCTCTCACTGCGGCCCCGCCGCCCGTCTCAGCGGCCCCGCCGCCCGTCTTCGCGGCCCCGCCGCCTCTCTCGCTACGGCCCCGCCGCCCCTCACTTCGGCCCCGCCGCCCGTCTCTGCGGCCCCGCCGCCCGTCTCCGCGGCCCCGCCGCCTCTCTAGCTGCGGCCCCGCCGCCTCTCCCTGCAGCCCCGCCGCGCGTCTCAGCGGCCCCGCCGCCCGTCTTCGCGGCCCCGCCGCCTCTCTCGCTGCGGCCCCGCCGCCTCTCTCTGCGGCCCCGCCGCCCGTCTCAGCGGCCCCGACGCCCTTCTTCGCGGCCCCGCCACCTCTCACTTCGGCCCCGCCGCCCGTCTCTGCGGCCCCGCCGCCCGTCTCTGCGGCCCCGCCGCCCCTCTCGCTGCGGCCCCGAGCCCTACCAGCGGCCCTACGGCCCTACACCGCCCGCGCCACCCGAGCTGCCCGACCCGCCCGAGCCGCCCGAGCCTCCCGAGCTGCCCGACCTGCCCGAGTCGCCCGAGCCGCCTGAGCTGCTGAGGAGCCGAGCCGCCCAACCCGCCCGAGCCGCCCGAGCCGCCCGAGTCGCCCGAGCCCCCTGAGCCGCTGAGGAGCCGAGCCGCCCGACCCGCCCGAGCCGCCCGAGCCACCTGAGCCGCTGTGGAGCCGAGCCGCCCGAGCCGCCCGAACCGCAGTTGCTGCTAAGCCGTCCGAGCAGCCGCGTTGCTGTGCTGCTGAGCTGCCCGACCCGCCCTGTCTGGTGAGAGCAGCGCTCCTGTCACTGCACTGCCCCTGTCCTACAGGTAGTACTGCTAGGCTACTGTCGTCATGGCTACCCCTAGTGTCCTCGCTTTTGACGCTGAGGGTCGGGCCATTGACTTTGAAGTCTGGGTAGACGACCTGCAGCTGTTCTTACAGTGCGATAGAGCAGACGGCCTCTCTCTCTTTGACCTTACCTCTGGCGCTTCCCCAGCCCCTGCTGCTGATGTTGACGCCACTGTTCGCTCCCAGTGGGCCACGCGCGACGCTGCTGCACGTCTTGCTATGCGTCGCCACCTCCCTACCTCCGAGCGTGCACACTTTAGTCAGTACAAGAGTGCTCAGACCTTGTACGACGCTGTAGTCGCACGCTACCCCTCCCCTGCCACTGCTGCACTGAGCCGTCTCATGCTACCGTACCTCTTCCCTGTCCTTGCTGCCTTTCCCCACCGTGGCTGACCTCATCACGCACCTCCGCACTAGTGACACTCGTTACCGCGCTGCACTCCCTGCTGACTTCTGCGCCAAGAACCCCCCCCCCCCCATGTACATCACTCTATACTTCCTAGTCACTCGCCTTCCTGACTCCCTTCGAGTAGTCAGGGACCACTTTCTCTCAGTCTGTCCCACCACACTCACTGTCGATCTCCTCGAGAAGGCCCTCTTAGCAGCGGAGAAGAGTATAGTCGCTGTAAAAGCCTCTCGAGGTGACCTGCGCACCCCCATCTTTGAGGGGTGTTCCCCCTCCCCCCTGCTGCCCTCTGTTGCCTCTGCTGCTACGGCCGACCTCCTTGGTCTTGAGTCGGTCGGTGCGGCGTCTGCCCCTAGCGGGAGACGCCGCCCTGGCAAGGGCAAGGGGGGCAAGGGAGCTGGAGGAGCGGGCGGTGGAGGTGGAGGTGGAGGCGATGGGGGTAGTGGGGGTGGCGGTGGGAGTGGAGGTGCGGGTGGGGGGGTCGGTGGCGGCGGTGGAGGCGGAGGCGGCGGCGGCGGTGGCGGTGGGAGCGGAGGTGGCGGAGGAGGCGGCGGTGGAGGCGGCGGTGGAGGCGGCGGTGGAGGCGGCGGCAGTAGCGGAGGCGGCGGAGGCGGTGGGGGTGGCGGTGGAGCTGGTCGCGGGCCTTCGCAGAGGAGTGGCTCCGGTAGTGGCGCGCGCCAGCAGCAGCAGCGCGGTCGTGAGTCCTTGTCCCCTCAGCAGCTCCGTGAGTGGTACACTGCACGCCAGCGGGGTGGGGGTTTTGGTCCGTGCACCTACGTCCTGCGCTCCGGCGACCGTGCGGGTGAGCAGTGTGGGGGTGCGCACCCCACCCAGCGCTGCTTTGGCCGCCTGACGGACGCGTGGCGTCACCAGTTCCCGGAGGCCTCAGAGATTCCTCGCTGGGGCGAGCTGTCTAGGGCGGGTGTTGCCATCTTTGATCTTGACTTTGATGCTATTCTCTCTGCCTTGTATGCTCTGTCTCATAGTGATGAGGGTGACTACTACTGCTATTTCCCGCCCGATCCGGGCATTGAGGCTGCTGCCCTAGGTGCTTGCGACGCTGCTGCTCTAGGTGCTGGTGTGTCTGCGTCCTCAGGTACTGGTGAGTCTGCGCTCTCAGGTACTACGTCGGCTTCGGCCTCCCTCACCTTCACTCTTGACTCTGGGGCGTCTCGCTCCTTCTTTCGGGACCGCACCACACTCACGCCGCTTAGTCGGCCGGTTGCGGTGTCTCCGGCTGACCCCTCCGGGGGTCCTGTACTGTCTCGCTTCTCCACAGTCCTCCCGTGTCCGGCGGCTCCCTCTGGCACCCTGTCTGGTCTCTACCTCCCCTCGTTCTCGACGAACCGGGTGATTGGTGCTGACCTACATGATGGGGGAGTACACCAGTTCACTCCTGCGCGTCAGCGGGTGACGCACTGTACAGAGGCTAGCACAGGCCGGCACCTGGCTACGTTTACCCGTCAGCCGGGGTCGAGCCTGTACACACTGACCACTGCGTCTCCTCCCGTTACTGAGTCTGGTAGAGTCGTTTCGTCCAGCCAGGTGTTTGCTGCAGCGTCTAGGTCTGGTCCTGAGTCTACCCCCTGTTCGTGTCATCTCTTGTCTCATGAGACTCTCCTCTGGCACCACCGTCTTGGTCACCCCTCTCTGCTTCGGCTCAGAGGCATGGCCTCCCGTCTTCTTGTGTCTGGTCTCCCCCGGTCCCTCCCTCCCCTTCCTCAGGGCCTTGGCCCTGCCTGTGTCCCCTGTGTCGAGGGGCGCCATCGGGCTGCCCCTCACTCCTCCCATTTTCCTTCGACAGAGGCCCCGTTGCAGACGCTTCACATGGACGTGTGGGGCCCGGCCCGCGTCTGTGGACAGGGTCACGAGCGCTACTTCCTGCTCGTTGTTGACGACTACTCGCGTTACACCACGGTCTTCCCCTTGCGCAGCAAGGGTGATGTCACTGAGGTGCTGATCGACTGGATCCGCGCGGCTCGTCTCCAGCTCAGACAGAGGCCGAGAGCTTTCCTCCGGCCTACTGCGAGCCTACTGTCGCGCACGAGGCATTCGTCAGACCTTCACGCTTCCGGACTCACCGCAGCAAAATGGGATTGCTGAGCGCCGCATTGGCATGGTCATGGACGTCGCTCGTACGTCTATGATGCATGCGGCTGCCCCCCATTTTCTGTGGCCGTTTGCGGTCAGGTACGCGGCGCATCAGATCAACCTCCACCCTAGGGTCTCCAGGCCGGAGACCTCCCCAGCCTTACTGTGGACGGAGAAGGTTGGCGATGCGTCGGCGTTCCGGGTCTGGGGATCTCGGGCGTTTGTCCGCGACTTGTCTGCGGACAAGCTGTCCCCTCGTGCTGCTCCTTGCGTCTTCCTGGGGTTCCCCCCTGACGCGCCTGGGTGGCAGTTCTACCACCCCACCTCTCGACGTATTCTGTCCTCCCAGGATGTCACGTTTGACGAGTCGGT